GATTGAATACCGGGATAAAGAATGATACCATTTTTGAGCTCGTGGTCCTAAAGTTAAGGAAAACATCCGACATCTGAGTGCTTCATTCGCTCCATGAAGATCCATCCAAGACGTGTACTGACCGAGATGGGCATCAGGATCGGAAGTTCCATCATATAAGCCGATTTGCGGAACTTTTACTTTAGTTGGGATTGGCTCTCTAGTCAAATGAGGAGCTAAAGGAGTTCCAACCTCTTGATACGTCTCTTCTATCACTGGAGTTCGTCGTGGCGGTCCTCCATGTTCATCTTGACAAGTCTCCAGTTCTGCAATCCTTTTTCTTAACATTTCTAACTCTTCTGATTCGCGTCTTTGGCGATTCCTTTCAATTAAACGACGTAACTCATTCTGCCCACGACGAGCATGGGTTTGTTCGAGAGTGTGTCGTAAATCAGAAGGTTGATCATGTCGTGATAGTTCTGGTAACAATGGAGTAGACTGTCGTGGTCGATGTCCAGAATGGCTTTCTGCAGTTGCTTCTGATCGCGCTGGTTCTGGAACTCGAGTTTGTACTGGAACTACTCCACGATTTTGAGTCGTTGCATCATGTTGTGATTCATGTGTACGTGGATGGGAAGTTGCATGTGATGTTGCAGGAATATTATTTCTTCGTGGAACTGGAGTTGAGCGAGTTTGAGGATTAGCCGCTATGGTTGATTCTATTCTTGTTCGTGCCATGAAATCAGTTAAGTTTTTCAAGAACTCTGGATCTTGAAATAGAGCTGAATAATCAATTGATGTAGATGGCACGGCAGAAGTTCCGGTTGTATGAGTTGGATGACGATTGATCCCAGGGTCAGGATTTCGTTCATTTCGTCCAGAATTCGACATCCTTTTGGTGTTTGTTTACAAGACAAACAATTTTAAAGGGAAGGCCCTCCTTCTAGCGCCAAACTGTTGCTGTCTTGAATTAACAACTTCAATTTAAACACAGTTGATGTTTCAAAAATGAAGATAAAAGTTTAATTGGATTTCATTGATTATGTTCACAAGAGTACAGAAGCCGGTTTTAAGCTGAAAACCGAGATTGTCTTAAATTCGTGTACAATGTGATCAAAAAGATCCTCGTACTATCATCAATTCTGCTATTTATAGTACGGTGGCTTTTGTCCTCTTCTTCGAAATGGATAGAGATGCATTTAATATTGAGCTGCTTTGTTTTGAGGCGGCGGGAAACATCAATGATTGCCTTTTTGTTTTGTTGGTCCAATCAGATGCTTCTAATGATTGCTTTCTGTTGGAATGCTCAAACTTTATGGTAGTCGGTTGATTTGGAGTCGGTTTTCTTACGTTGACTTCGGATGTCGGTTTTGATCCTTTTGAAGGTCTTGTCGGAAGTTGGATCTTTCGGAAATCGACAATTCTTAGGAAGTCGGTAATTTGTTCTAATATATTCCGACTTGTGGTACACTGGATTTGATATCAACATGTATATCAAAACAAATAAAAAAAAACAGTTTTTTATTAACTTTCATTAATTACAGATTTGACCCATGGGTTAAATTGAAATATAATCAAAATTATAAAACTGCAAAGAGGTTCTTGTACATAATCAAATTCTCAAAGCATATGCCCAATTTCAAAGATGAATTCCAGGTTTTCAACTCGCCGGTAATGCAACCTATCACGTCGACGAGGGTGTGGCTTGAGCTACAGGAGACGTTGGACAACGCCAGCCGCGAGAATCCCGGCGATTTCACGGTGGCGGTCGAAGTTGTTCCATGGCGACACGCAGCGGTGGAGGGCATCTCTCTTCGGCACCGGTGGGGAGATTGTCGCAGTGAGGAGTGACGGCAAGGAGTTTGACAATCAGTTTGGCCATCGTCGCGCCGGCAGGGAGATTGTCGCATTGAGGAGTGTCGGCGGGAAGTTTGACAATCGATTCGACCATCGTCGGCGCCGGCGGGGAGATTGTCGTAGTGAGGAGTTCCGGCGTGTGTCGTATCCGATGATGGGGCGGCGTTGGGTGTTGTACCAGCGGGTGGTCGGAGGCGAGGAGATGACGCAGTGCGTGTGGGTGCATGTTTCTGTGCGAGCAGGCGTGTGTGTGTGCTCTGTGTATAGTGTGTGTGAGTGTGTGAGAGATAAAGAGTGGGTGGGATGGTGAGGTGTAGTAGCCACGTGTCAAAAAACTATTGGCTGTGTGGGTGAGTGTTAGTTGGCATTAATTTTTAACATGTCCAAAATACCATTAATGAATAAATAAATGCTGAATTTTTTGTATCCGTTAGATCATTTGATCCGATGATTGTGATGTATTCTTATTTCTTTCATTAAGACTTTTTCTCACTGGAACCCAACCCTATATATATATATGTATATATATATATATATATATATATATATATATATATAGGGTCGCGCTCTGGTGAGAATGATTCTCAACGAAAGAAATAAGAATGCATCATAGNGACGCACACACGCACAACTCAACAGATCACCGTTGATCCGCCAGCACCACCGCCTCCCAAGCTCTGGCAGCATCCAATCAATGCCGCCCTTTCCAGTCGTTGCCGTCGCCTGAATCGGGACGACATGCTCTCCACAACCACCGACCGCCCGCTTCCCTGAAAACCAGTGGTCGCCGGCGTGAAAAAAAAAAATTCCACGAATCTCAGCCTTTGACGACCAATCCATTTTGCCGGCGATTTTTACGAACCTTCAACAATGAAAAAAATGGAGCAGCGATTTTGGAACTTCAATGGTTGTCACATCGGAGGTTGCCGCCGAAGGAGGAGGATGATGAGAGCTTGGGCTAGATGTTGAAGATGGAGTGGTCGAGCAGGGGGTGGTGAGGGTGTGGCCGATAGGCAGTGTAATTTTGGGGTTGGTTGTGCGGATTTTTTTTGTAACTTAGATAAATTCCAATGATTTGGATGCAATTTAAGAAAAATGATTATATTTCAACTTAGCCCATAGGCTAAATTTGTAATTTACAAAAGTTTATAAAAACAATATTATTTTATCTATCTTTTCATACATATATATAGTATATATTCAACCAAAAATATTATAAAATATCACATAAAACTTATAAATACATAATATATATATATATATATATATATATATATATAAATACGATTGAATGCACAATGTTATTAAACGAGATGCACACTATTGATCATCATATTGCACTGCAGTGTCAGAACGAATTCACATTATTACGTACGAGGATGAACATTACCGTAAAAAAAATATATATTTTTCACAAATATTAAAATTTTTACTAATACGAGATGATACCAATTTATAAATGGTAAATCATTTATAATATTTAAGTTAATTCGGTTAATCTCTGGAATAATAAAGGTAATTCATTTAATAATTTGTTTCAATAATTTATTATGTAATTATGAAATTACAAAAGAATAAGTATTTTGTGAATTTAGGTTAATTCGATGTACAATTTTATCTATTAAAACTAGTTTTTTAATACACACAATTTATCCGAGTACGTGTAAACTATTAGAATAACGCGTTGCACTTTATAAAACAACATGTCGCACTTTATACATCAACATGTTGCACTTTATAAAAATAACACCCTACACTTTATCACGACTATAAGATCGCCCGAATAGCGAATGAAACCAACCGAATTCATTTTTTTTTTCTTTTCTAACCAAAAACAATAGAAAAAATAGTAAATAAAATTATTAACATGTAAACATAATTTTAATATAAATAACAATTATTTCGATAATTTATAATAAATTGGTTAACTAAAGCGAATAAACCAATTAATTGTGTTCATCTTCAATTTGATTAGGACCAATGTTCGCTTGGTTCAATCTGCACAATACGTACTAATACCGTGCACCATATTGTTGACCGAATTTCACTAATAACTGTTTGATTGCACAATATATATCGTTTATATATATACTAATATGTTTAATAAAAAAATAATATAAAATATTAAGTAATAAAATATTAAATACTAATCATGTTTTTATAATAAAGAATATAATTTATGTCGTTTATTTTGGCTATTTATGTTAACCGACAAAATAAATCATTATTTCAAAATTTTAAATTCGAAATTTTAAATTTCATTTTGATTAATTGAATTTACATTTAAAGTGTATTATTGCACAATTCACTTATAAACAAATTACATAACAATTTTTTTTAATAATTTTGTATTCATATGACATTATTTTTTAAAGTGCACACCTACACACAATAAATGTGTCATTCTTATGTAAAATTTAATTTCACTAAATTATCAATTGCTTTCAAGTAATAAAAATACACATATATTAGTTGAGAAATTGCAAAATATGCCCTAAAGATTATCTAATTCTCATTTGAAAGCCCCACAATCAATTAAAACTCCAACACGTAACGCTCGCCTTCTCCACCCAAACTCACGGCGACTGAATCATCAGAGTTCTCGTTGCCGCCACGCTGGGATAAGAAGGATCCTTTCACCCCCGGACACTGTGGCGAGATTGGTGACGGAATCGAAGCTGGACTTCGTCGGACGCTCTGCAGATCTCATTATACGGCGGTTCATCGGTGGACGCCTCGAGACTCCAGCTTCCATATCGACAGCGTCCGGTGGATAGAAGCCTGATTTCGCGAGCCCGGACGGTGTCCATCCCGACGACGTCCACCATATACCTGGTGATGAAGCGACTGCAATGGCGGAACTTCGTCGGAGCTGGCTTCGAAAATGACTGTATCAGCAGAGCTCATGTCGGCGGTGGGTTGCCGGCCAGTTAGCGGTTGGTGTATAGGTTGGGGGTCGACTGTGCTGCGTGTGTGTGTGTGTTCCGAATGGGGATTTCTGTGGGTGTAATTTTGTGGTGTCGGTGTTACGACGGCGTCGGGCTGTGATGCGGTGGTGGTCACGGTGGTCTGCGAATATCCGGTGGCCGGAATGTGTGATGTGTGTGTAAATGTGTGTGTGCGTCTGTGAGTGAAGCCGAGAGGAAGAAGAGAGAAGGTGGGAGATGGTGTTGTGGGCCCCAGTGAGATAAATAGGGTGGTTAGTGGGTGAAGGGAAATTACACCACTACCCTCTAAGTATACATAACATACCAATATTTACCACATAATTACAAGACTGCCATCGTGATTTGACTGGGATTATTAATCTTTGATTTCATCTTATCCATTTATATGATGTATCCAATGGACTAGATCCATTATCATTTCTTTCACTATCCCCTTTCTCATATGATCAATTCTCTCTCTCTCTATATATATATTTAATAAATATGTGATATTTAAAATTAGCATTAAAATTTGTAATTTGGATATGAGATAAATAATGGATATGTACAAAAAAATATAGGTACCAAGAATTCACATATACATAGTAATAGGTTTGTGATATTCGGTTAATTACTCCATTGTCTTGGGTTTGAAGCTACACTATCTTCTACTACTTTAATTGAATCAGCTGAGCCTGGCCTGAAAATTTCAAATTCATGAAAACCTTGTGATCTGCAAGAAATAAGGGTTGAACAGCCTCATCTCGATCACTTTGAACTACGAATCCGATCAACCTACAGCATCGGGGCTGGACCCGGCTTACACTCTGATGCTCAAATCAGAGATTATATTGTCAAAGTATTATAATTGAGAAAACTTACGTAGAGCCTAGGTCCAAAAATTGAACCTTGTTTCCTTATTTATAAGGAGTTATGACTTATTCTCCAAGACAGTAGTATTTCTATTATAACCAAGGAGTCTAGTATTTCATAAGATACACACAAAATTACTTGCGGGAATTAGTTTTTCTTTTATTTTATATATATATATATATATATATATATATATATATATATATATANANA